GGTATGCGCAATACATGGCCTAACCAACACAGCTTCTGCTTCTGGACACGTTTTTTAATGAAAGTCGTTAACATTTGCTTTCTGGCTGCCTCGTTACGGATTCGCTAACAACAACCAACACCAGCTATGGTTTTCAGATAACGGTTGTAGAGTGCCTGAAAGCGTTTTGTTTCCGTTGCTCAATGTGACTGCTTCTCAGCTATTCGACAAAACGACCCAACCTGAGCCAAATACACGTGTCTTTTGAGATTCAGGGATATACCGCTTTTCTGCCATGGGTGTCTCAAGTTACCAAACTTGACCTGAATATTACAGTCGTGCATTAGTCTCGTGAGGTACACTGCACTCTGAACTCATACAACTTCCAAGGTAAGTAAACCGCTGCACAACTTTGAGTGCGCTGCTTGGATTGTAAGTGGCGTGTCCAGTGACTGCATATCCAGAAGCAAAACCGTACACTTCACCGGTGCAAATCGCATGCCAGAGGCCACTTTATTCAAAAACACCTGGATCTTCTCTTCATACTCCTGACCGATAAAGTTTCCGTCGCCAGCGTTTTTGAGGCCTCACTATTTCGCTTATCACAAAATTAAACAAGATAAACAAGAAGAAGAGTTGATACCGTTGACGGACATCAATTTGTGTACGCAAGCTTTTGCAGAGTTCTCCGTGTACTTCCACGAGTCCGAAAGCCTGAAGACACGAAGAAAACCTATGTTCGAACTTTCGAGGCATTCCTTGCTGGACAATCGTATCAATTAGAACGGACCGTTTAAGAAAGTCTAATGTGCCTTGGAAATCAATGGAACACTAAAACTATGAATGGCATTGTTCTAGTGCCTAACGAAGTGTGAAAATTTAGTTAACACAACCTCCATCAGGCCGAAGTCCTGCTTGCTGCAGTGGAGTCGCGGGCCACCATAAGGTAACGAAGGAAACTTCACGACAGGGATCTCGTTACGACTGGGTTCAAGCTGACCCCCATTTATTACCAGACTCACTACGAGCCCCTTTTTTGTGGATGGGCACTATCACGGACAACTATAAAATTCCCACACGCGAGACTCCTTCACAGAAGTTCACAAGAGCTACACAAAAGCCACTCAAGCGGTATTCAGTCAAGTAAGGATGCTTCTACCCGGTGAATTAGGAAGATATCGACTCACGCATATCCTGGTTCGCCAGAGGTGCCCAGCCGAAACCGAATGGAATGTGATGGGTACTTAACTCAACTAATGTGCTTGTATCTTGAATTTTTGTTTCTGATACACAGTACACATCAATATCAAGAGAATCCAATGTGAAAGCAAGAGCGGCCTGTGTCCTATTTGCTTCGGAGTGCAAATGCTGAAGATCAATTTCGATCTGCCTAAGGCCATCTGAGCCGGCTGGCGCACAAATGTTGCGGCCGAAACCGTTGCAAAAAGAGACTAGCTCAGGGATTATGGCGTGAATTTACTGGCCAGAAGGTTCATCATTCGAACCCGACGTCTTCATCTCGAATTCTCCTGTCTAGGCTTGGACAACGTGGCAGTATTCCAGCCCTCGCGCTTCCTTCGGGCGGAATGGCAGCTAGGTACCAAAAGGGTGTTACGGCTGAATGATTACCAGTCCTAATGAATGGCCTATAAGGAGGGTTACTAATGGGTGAAGGGGAAGGAAGAGTATTTGAAATAGAAAGAGGGGAGACGTCAACAGTATCCTGTTTTCGATCACCCTCCCCGGTGTATACATCAATTGGGACGACCGGACTGATGGCACCACGCGACGAATGATGTGGCGCAAGATTATTGTTAGTTCCAGGCATTCGTAAAAAATCGTTCAACTGCAGCAACCTTTTCGATGTCTAATTGCCATGCCACCAGAAGGAAGCTAGCAACCTTTCGATGTCTAACTGCCATGCCACCAGAAGGAAGCACGAGGGCCGAGATACCCAGGCCTATACAGGGGAACTGGAGAGGCGAAGCCACCTCGCCCCTATTCCTGGTATTATGGTTGTGTATGGGCCGGGATACTGCCAAAGTGCCCAAACCTACATAGGAAGATGATTAAAGTCCTCGACCTGAGCCTTTGGCTAAAACGTCTGACCGCAAGGCATCGGTACCTGGCAGGAAGTGCAAACGTATCGCCACATTTAAAGAACAAGTCAAGCTTGTTCCGACCCCCAATCTGGAGAGTCAAAATATCATTACCAAAGTCCAGAAATACGAAAATCCCCCGGGACAATCTGCTACACCGGCTGCCTGTTTTCTCTACATGAACATCGACCTGGTCAGTTCCTTACCACGATGGAAATATCCCATTTGTCTTGTAACATGCATCGACCGTCTTTCCAAGAGGTCGGTCATCCTACTCTCAGACTGTTCCTTCAAGACGGTCGCACGGATATTCTTAGAATTTTGGGTTACTCAGGTTGGTTATTCGGATCACGACTGGCACTTCGTATCCGTCTTTGGAAACCTGCTGATTACCATAGGTTGCAGGCACATTCGTTGGTCACCTTAACATCAGGTGGTCAACGGACCAGTCGAACGCTTTCACTAACAGCTCAAGGCACGTTAGGCAACCTTTTCAGACTCCATTTGGGGGTCTACATCTTTGTCGCCAGAAGCCATAAAAAGATTGAAAAATGGCATAAATGATATCGTCACAATTGACGGGCAACATCGAAAGCTACTTTGGAAGTATCCAACCTAAGCACTTCCACGGCCGCCGCGAATATTGGTTTCTGTCAGTCACTTTATTCACAGCCTAGCAATTGTACATCCACCGGGCCTCTAACCTCTGTACACGCGCAACATACTAAGATGAGCTTACGCAGCCCGAAGGTCAGACAGCCTGTACGAATCGTGTTCCCGTACTCCAGTTGTCATTGTCGTCATCAAAGGTAGCAACATTATTGTTGACACCGGCGTTTCGTTGCTGTGTGATCACATGGCTTATCCATTTATAATCGAAACCTTGAAGTGAAGAAGCGGGAAGTGAGTGGGAGGATGACCTGTTTCTTTCCCGCTCGAGTATTCCGAAGTGTTCACGTCTCCAAGCACTCTGGCAATCCGGAAAGAAGCTGACAACACGGGCATCACTGATATTCATTAGCCGTCAGTTTCTGCAATGTCTCTAGCCAGGTGCGGAGTTCACGGGACCCATAATCTGGAACGCGGACCATGCCAACGACGCCCAAACTCGTAATCCTTTTCACACACCCTGTCATGTCGCACGTTGTTCACCTCGTAGTTTGCGGCATTCTGAAGGAGGTACGGCGGTCAACACTCATGTTGGTAGAATTCATTTGCATATGCCGAGCTTCCGCAGTTGAGGTGCTGAATGTTTTCCTCGACTGAAGTATCCGCCATACAACCAACTGCCCTTTTTCCGGTCATCTCGTTACAACCGCAGCAAAACCTCTAACATGCCGATTATCAAAAATAAGGCGTCTCAGTGCGCTTGTCCGTAGGAGCCGTGTCTCGCGATCATACAACTATACAGCCCTTACTGTAACCTGGTATAAGCGAATCTTGAGGCCCAGTTAAATGCCATAGGTGACGCAGATTAACAAACGTTATTTGGACCTTTGAGATTAGTGCACTCATTCCTCAAACACACTTCCGTCAGAACCAATATAACCACTGATGTACGTAAAGTTTTCCACAGTGTTTCTTGTATTGTAATCGGAGATCCATAAACTCCTTCAGAACGCTCCTTCAGATTGGCGCAAATTGCAAGGTGAACAAGGTGCGACATGACAGGAGGGTGTGAAAAAGAGTGTGAAGAGTTTAAATGTCTTTGGTATGGTCCGCGTTCCAGAATAGGGCTCCAGGGGACTCCGCACCGGCCTGGAGACATCGCAGAAACTGACAGCCAATGGATATCAGTGATGCCCGTGTTGTCAGCTTCTTTCCGGACTGCCTAGGCGTTTGGAGGCGTGAACAATTCGGAATATTTAAGACAGGCTATCTTCAAGTTCCTTTGGTATGCGTTTTTTATCACTCCAAGGCTTGAAATATTAATAAATAACCGTTGTTAGTTTCCAACAGTTAAGTCTGGATATCGAAGCTGGTGTTAGAGAGGGCGCCACTCAGGGTTCAACCTCCATCTTTCTACGGGTTTTGATTTGATTTAGGCAATGTTTCACTTTGAGTATCTTTGGCAAAATAGTTTTGGCTGCCCGTCGTATTATGATGACTTCCGGTTGCGACTGGCATTGAGGCCTTTTTGCCAAACTTCCTACGTACAATCTGCATTAGGGCATGGTCGGTTGTATGGGCGGTTAATTGGTGGTCACTCTATTCACTCACGATCGGACTGCGTACTCTCCAGGATTAAGAACATCTTCACTAGCTTCCCCCAAATATATGCACTCTTCCACTTTTGATCGGTCCCATCTGCCAGAACATGCGCAGACCAGGCAGTTGTCTGCCTTCCTCCCATTATCTTACCTTTCTCAATGTTCCGTTCCTTTCTGTCTGTGGAATGACCATTCACAGACTGCAGCTCTGCCGAGTATCACCCTGCACATCTCCGTGATAGATCTGTTGGATACACGGACGATTAGCCCTTCCTTGCAATCTGATTCAGTTTCCCTCTTATGCTAGACATTCCACTCACCAAAGCCCCATTGGCCTCACCGCCATTTCCTCTTTCCGTTTACTCACCCTTTGACTAAACCCTCTGGACAGCTCATTCAGTTTTCAGTCTTCACCGCGGGACTATCAATAAAGTTTGGCCTCCTACGTCGAAGGTACAAGTACTTCATCGGAGTGATGGTTCCCCTATACCTCCGAAAATTGTTCTACCCTAGGGTTGAGTTATCATGGTAATGATATGACCTGATCCCAGGAAGGCCATACTAGGACCCAGACGAATTAAGGTGGGATCTACACTGTGTTTAATGTAGTTGTTATGAGTTGCAATGCCAACACAGTTTCCCTGAGATACAATAATGTCTCATATATCTTTGACCTTTATCTGATTCCGTTGTACTCTCTCGCCTTTTATAGCTTTTTACACCTGTTGCTGGTCTCTACCGTTGCCTAAACGCGTGCTCTGTGCAAACGCCCAACCATCCACAATGAATCCGGTGACACCCTCCGCTGCATCGCCATCCGCCCCTACGAATACCACGTCTGCACCAGAAATGGAAAGTGTTTATAAGTGGATATCTGCCCTTACGAACGTGGAAACGAGAGAGAGTGCATTGCTCGAGCTGTGGTAGGTGTGTTAGTTTGTTTATCCTGCTGGCAGCAAAAAACGAGAAAGTGTTCCTGAACTTGCTCCGCTACTGTGGAATTCGTGTGGATCTATTGCAGCCCTTTTACAAGAAATTTGCGCAATATATCCATATATCAACCCACCTAATCTGAATGTAAGTAGTAGTTCGCAGCTTTCAGTTCGAATCCCACATGTTTTCTTCTCTTATACGAGTACAGTGTACCCTCTATTTCTATGACGAACACCCACACAGTCGATGTTCCTAACACAACTGTAATTTTTGCCACCGCGCTTTTCAAGCTAGATGTTAATCTCCAATCTGGAAGGGATGGGTTTTTGTTAATCAAGCTTTATTTGCAGCGAGTTGTGTGGCATTCAAGATGTATTCAAATTGTCATCGTTCGAACGGTCCTCCTTCAGTCTCATTTAGGCTAACCAGAACGAGGGACTTGTGAATAAGGGTGCGACTGTTGTTAAGTCGGCCACTATCTACCACACATACCGCCGTGTGTTGTTTACCGGTTTAGGGCGGATAAAATGTTAAACATAGGGACATATTAGGTTCGCATAAAGAGAATGAGCGAGACGGCTGAGCATATCCCCTTTCTGATGTTACTTCACAAGTACACCAGTCGGTTTGCTCTAATTGGAGAAATGGAAGTAATCCAGAGGAATTTAGTTATGGAACTAACCACTTCTGAAAGATTTGTTCCTAAGTGCCATTACGGAATTACTCTCGGAGTCGAGAAATCCAGAGCATCCATTTAAATTTCCGAACACAGCACTGCTGCAGTTGCTGTCTGTAAGCTTCTCTTTCAAAACTAGTGTGTAGCTGTTTCAGTTAGATACGGGGCGACCGTCAATGGGTTAAGCACTGAGGCATTGACCATTTGACTTTGGTGCTCGCTACACAGGATTGATATTGGTGCTGTATGAACTGACTTTGAGAGAATCCACCTGACCATGACAGGAACCAGTCCCACATTAATTCGACCGCGCATTCCACATGCTATGTTACCCAGAGATTAGGTCAGTTCCACCCGTGCACATGTGAAATGCATCTTGTTGCATCTAACCGTATCTACAAAACGATACAGAATCTTCAACCTGCGGGTTTCGATCGCAGTGAACAGAAACTCGATCCCAATGAGTAATGGTCCACAGCACCCGAAAATCCGACGAGAAAATTGTAGCAAAGACTACTTTATGCTGTTTTCCACATTTTGTCAATGCAGTTGTTATTTACGACTGGTTTTGTTGTTTCTAGGCTCACCAATCCAATCGGGTTTGCAACGCATTGGCCCTCCTTCAATGTCTCGCCTCACATCCGGAAACACGGAGCGACTTTCTCAAAGCAAACATCCCTTTGTATCTGTACACTTTCTTGAACACAAGTAATCGTACGCGACCTTTTGAGTATCTACGTCTCACCAGTCTCGGTGTCATCGGTGCACTTGTCAAAGTAAGTCTTTCTGCTCCAATGAAGTAGTATCGTGGACTGCACTCGGAGATGACATTGACAAACAGTGATTTTTACGCTGTGCCTGAACCGTTATCGTATAAGCAGGTGAGATCACGAATTTAGAAGTTGTTCATACTCCTTTTAGGTTAGTGACACAGCCATCGCTTTATAACCGCGCAATAAGAAGGAATTTGCAAACGAAGTGAGATGCCTTATTTTAGCCTTTCTAACACTTCCAAACAGCCCTACTGGGTTCTAGTTCCGCTGAAAATACAGCGGTGCTGTAAGTCCACCGTAGACCATAGTCCTATGGTTTCATAGTATACTACACTCGGGCTAATTGAGCGAGCGTACACAACTGAACCGGGGCATTCTCATAATGATACAATTCGGACGGTTCACATGAGCAACCTAGCATTGGGATGTACTGCACCATAACTTTTGCGTTAAGTTTAAGGTATCTCGTTATTCCATTCTGAAAACCAGACACCTCTAAATGAGCAGTTGTTGAGACATTTATCAATCCGTTGTTTAGTAGGTATGGTAATGAATCGGACGCGCAGAATACGCCCCATTGAGCTATACTGGGGGGTGTCCCAATCCATTGTTGGTAGGTATGGTAATGAATCGGATGCGCAGAATACGCCCCATTGAGCTATACTGGGGGGTGTCTGTGCAACACTCACAAGGTCTCTCATACCAGGTTGGTCAATGGTTAGAGGTCTGACGAACACAGTCTCCTGGCCCTCCAGCTTGGGGGTTGGAACATGTATGGCGACTTGTTCCGTAGAAAAGGTAATGCATTTGCA